GTCGAACCACAGGGAGGTTAATCGTACAAATTATAAACAACAATTATAAACAACAATAATAGCAATAATAACAACAATAATAACAACAACAACAACAACTATAATAATAATAATAATAATAATAGTCGTAGTAGTAGTAGTAGTAGTAGTAGTAGTAGTAGTAATAATAATAAAGAAAGAGAAGAAGAAGAAGATGATGAGAACTTGGAAATGGAAAATTAATGTAAGGATTAAACAATAATAATAACAAATGTCAAGGTCAGAGGTTCCACTAATGGTATGTCAAACAAGTATAGTATAAATTCTTATTATTCAATTGGAAACCACACATGTATATCAAACAAGTATAGTATAAACTCTTATTATTGAATTGGAAACCACACACAAAGGAGGTTCCAATCAGATTATATATTGTTAACATGATTACATTAGTCATCTTATTCGATTAATGCTAATACTTGTAAATCTCGTCAAGCATTCATGATTATAACTTATGTTAACAACAAATCAAGTTCCTTTTATAGCTCAGGTGTCGGTTATACCATACATTATGGGCTATGAAAGTGCCAAGCATTTGTTGTACCAAGTGTTATATAACATAAATCAAGATTAGTCATTTAACAAGCAAAGTATTAAAGAGTGAACAAGATAACAAATACAAAACATGTTAGTATCAAACATTAAAGTCCATATTAAGTTTACACTATACTTATTCTTACACCATTAGTGTAACCTTTTCACCTTGACATAATAAACTTAGCTAGACATAATGAAAGAAAAAAAAATAAATAAACAAAATAAGAACATAAATAAGATAAAAGTTAACTAAGTAAAGGAAAGGAAATGAAAGACATAAACTTGATATTAATGAAAGCAAAGCATAAACATTACAAAAAATACAAAGAGAGAAAGCCAGAGCATGATCTTGATCTGGACACACAGATACCTAAATGCATGGCAAATGCCTCCTGTTATAGGCCAAAATTGGGAACTATTGATTGGATGACTAATTGATGAGTGGGTGGCCAACTCTTGACTTGGTGACAATCCTTATCTTCTCTTGTCTACCTAAAATGTCATTGATAACATCAAAACTGGAGCCACTTGAAAACATGAAAGTTGTAGGAAATTGTCTCAACTTTCTTGTGTAAAAACTTCAGCTCATTTTGAGTTCTAGAACGCCATATATGGCCAAAATACTGAACAGTGCTCGGGCTGGAGGACAGATTTGGGCTTCTTTGTTGTTGCTACAATTTGGACTTGAAAATGGCCTTTTTAGATCTTGGGCTCCATATGAAAGTTATAGGCCTATGTGTTACCTTTCCATCTATATAAAGTAGACCTAAATATGGGATCTAGAGCTCCAGATATTACCCAATTACCGAATAGTGTTCCGATTTGGATTGCACCGACATCTCTTTTCGAAGTTTAGCCATCTCTTTGTCCTTTCAATTTAAGTTCTTAAATTCATCAATCAATCCTTTCATTTATGTGATAAGCCTGCATTTAAAATGAACATTAATCATAAATTAAAGGTATCTTATAGTATTAGATAGATTATTATAAACATGCTTTAGTTAAGGAGTTATTGATACTTGAAGTGCAAAATGATGATATAAAACCATGATAATAATACACTTTTAAGTACTAATCACACCCCCCAACCAGCTTATTACTAGTCCCTAGTAATCAAAGCATTAAAATAGGAAAACAATTTGCAAATTCCACAAAGCAAGGTATTCATCATTTAACTTCCATTAATCTATCTAGATAAACAAACTCTCATTTATATATATATCTGCTCAATACCTCTTAACAAGATATTCATAAACCTTTCTTTTGTGCTTAATGTATCAACACATAATTATGGGGCTTTTCTTGGAAGAAAACAAAATTTTTGTTCTAATGTTTAAGGTTACCTTCCTTGGGTTGAGATTATTATTTTTGTCTTTTTTTTTAAATATATATGCATATAATTTAAAAACATCATGCATCTTTCACCCATGTAACGAGCTTTCAGCTAATGACTCCCAAACCAGTTGGTCTTAGGGCATTAGTTGTTAAGACACCCCTACGAGCTTAGTAACTCGGGTCGCAGATACTGATATGTAGATAGTGCAATGTTTGATTCCCTTAAGCTTTTCTCCTCAACCCATGTAACAAACGTTGGGCCAATAGCTCCCAAGTCAGTTGACTTTAGGGTATTAGGTGTTAAAACACCCCTTCGGGCTTAATTGCTTAGGTTAGGGAGGCTACGAAACCAAACTCATCTACATTTTTATTATCATCATTTTTTTTTGTTTTTGTTTTTTTTTTGTTTTTTTTATTATATACAATCCCTTTCCCTTAGTTGTTACCTTTAACAAAAGAACATAAATAATGTAATAATCTAATATGCAACCCACAATCATATGTTAAATTGTGTGTGTGTAAATTAAGGTTTAAGAATACATGTTAAATAAGTATATGAGCAGAATTACGTGGTAACAATACGAGAGTTTGTAAACCTGAATATTTTAGGAAGTATTATAATAGACCTTGTTAAGAATGATTACTAAGATGCGTCTCAAAAGTCACTTTAACAAAAGAACTCCTTTACTCTGCCATCCTAGTAACAACAATTATGCACATGCTTTATGAAATGAAAAACAATTTTTTTTTTTATCAACTACTACCCTCTCCCCCCAACCAAAACGAGACATTGTCCTCAATGTTCTAAGGTAGAAAGATAGAGTATAGAAGATATCACCAGAAATAGCGAACACTAACAAACCTGAAACGCACTGAAACAAAAATAAAAAATACAAAACACAATAATAAAACCAAAAGACACAAAAATTCACAAATGAAGACTCAAATCTAATCTAAGCTTTTTACGGCTTTCCTTAGTTGACCAATTTATGCGACTCATGGAAGGATCAATTACAGGAATGAAGGATTGTAGTTTCTCAATTAATTGTTCAGCAGTAGCAACAGAGATTATGATTTGTCGTGCAGAAGATGTTAGAAATTCCTGTTCCACAGCATGATCAAGAAAAGACAACAACTTATCATAATAACCATTAACATTTAACAAACCTATGGGTTTATGGTGAATGTGCAGTTGGGCTCAAGACTGAATGTGCAATTGAGCCCAAGAGGAAATATGAAAGATCTCTTCCAATGTGCCTAGACCACCTGGTAAAGCAATGAAAGCATCAGCATGGTTAAACATTGCATTCATTCGAGCTGACATTGTGGAGACCTGAAGTTCCTCTCCAATTGTTTTTCCAATGATGTCCCCTTGTGCTAAAGCTTCGGGGACGACCCCCAAAAACTTGACTACCTCCTAAAAATGCAGCTATTGACACACCTCCCATTAACCCAAGACTGCCTCCCTCATACACTAAATGAATCTTTCTCTCAGCTAGCACTTGACCAAGATGATTTGCTGATTCTAAAAACTCCTTTTCTTTCCCAGGACTAGATCCACCAAAAACACAAATATTTCTTATATGATGACCTGAGGAACTTGCCATTTCTACACACTTCTGTAGTTGTTGAATGTATGGGTTGAGTAGAAATGAAAGGAAGGAAGAGAGGGTTTTATAGATGAGAAATTAGAAAGGCAATCATAACACCTATATCTAGGCCAGCTGGAGTCTCACACACTCTCTCTCTCTTTATTTATTTATTTATTTACTTTTGAAAAAGCATGTGTATGTATATGTAATTGTGATTGTGGCTCACATCTTCCCTTGGTTTTACGTCTAAGAATGGCGTAAACGCCCTTTATGGGTCGGGGATAGGCTTTCCATCCAGTTTTCTTAAAAACTGGCAAACAGGGTGTTTTTTAGTCAGATTCCCAAGACTAAGTCGATCATGTTCTTTATGAAATAGTGGCCATAAATCATGAATTGCACGATGCACATCTCCACTAGGATGCGTCTCAAGAGTCAATAGAAGATTATCTAAAGACTCCTTACTCAGACCATCCTTAATGAATTGTATTTTATCTTCACGATTTATAGATACCATTCCTAAAGAACGACATTGTGCATTACAAGTCCATCTAGCACATCGATGACAGACTTTTAGTCATTTTGCACGACGTTTCTTTGTAAAAGTGCTTTTACCTGTTCTAGGCATGTGTGAAATGAAGGACCTAGAGGACTCACCTAATAATTGGACCTTTGCTTCAATCAACCAGCGAATATCTTCAGGAATTCCATGATTCATTAACAATCTCAATCTTGCACATCTAGCACGGTAAATTTCTGTAATCGCATTCTGAGGTAGAGCGGGAAAATACTTTTTCAATTTTTCAAGATTAGTGTCCATTTTCAAATGAGAATTGGAAGAGAGATTCAAAGAATTGTACAAATATATACACAGATATCAGTTATTGTGGGAAACTGAAAGAACCGACTTAAGTCACGGAGCACCGTTATCCGCCATTTGACCGGAGTGAGAGAAACTAGCAAAAATCACTCAAAAAAAAATCAATCTTTATATACAAGATCACCCAATTTAATAGAGTCATATTCAACTGAAAAATTGTCAAAGTAAACTTTCAAACGATGCCCATTTACCTTGAAAACATTGTCATTCTTTGGATTCTCAATGTCATAGGCCCCATATGGATACACATGTTTCACAATAAAAGGACCGCTCCATCTTGATCTTAATTTTCCAGGAAATAAATGCAGTTGAGAATTATAAAGCAAGACTTTTTGACCAACATTGAATGTTTTTCTCAGTATTTTCTTGTCATGAAACTCTTTAATTCTTGCTTTATGAATTCTTGAATTTTCATATGCATCATTTCTTATTTCCTCAAGCTCAGTTATTTGTAATTTTCGTAGTTGACTAGCATCATCCAGATTTGAATTGAAAGCTTTAATAGCCCAATAAGCTTTATGTTCAAGTTCCACAGGCAAGTGACAAGGTTTTCCATAGACTAGTCTATAAGGTGACATACCTAATGATGTTTTATAAGCAGTTTGATAAGCCCAAAGTGCATCATTAAGTCTTAAAGACCAGTCTTTTCTATTAGGGTTCACTGTTTTCTCCAAAATATGTTTGATCTTCCTATTAACAAGCTCTACTTGTCCACTTGTTTGAGGGTGATAAGGGGTGGCAACTTTGTGTGTGATTCCATATTTCTTCATTAAAGACTCAAATGGCTTGTTGCAAAAATGTGTTCCACCATCACTTATTATGGCTCGAGGGACTCCAAATCGACTCAAAATATTTTCTTTCAAAAACTTTATCACTGTTTTGTGATCATTGTTTCGACTTGGAATTGCCTCTATCCATTTTGAAACATAATCTACTGCGACTAATATGTATAAGAAACCAAATGATGGAGGGAATGGACCCATGAAATCTATACCCCAACAGTCAAAGATCTCAATGACAATAATATGATTTAAAGACATCATGTGACGTTTTGAAATAGATCCCAACTTTTGACAATTTTCACATGGACCCATGAAATCTATACCCCAACAGTCAAAGATCTCAATGACAATAATATGATTTAAAGGCATCATGTGACGTTTTGAAATAGATCCCAACTTTTGACAATTTTCACAAGACTTACAGAATGCATGTGAGTCTTTGAACATGGTGGGCCAATAAAATCCACTTTGTAAGATTTTTGCAGTTGTCTTTCTTGACGAGAAATGGCCCCCACATGCCTTAGAATGACAAAATTTAATGACACTACTTACCTCATTGTCAGGAATGCATCTTCGAAAGATTTGATCAGGACAATATTTGAATAAATAAGGATCATCCCAATAAAAGTTCTTCACTTCGTTCAAGAACTTTCTTTTATCTTGGGTACTTCAATGAGCTGGCAATTGTCTTGAAACAAGAAAATTGACAATATTAGCAAACCAAGGCATTGTAGAGACAAAAAGTAAAGATTCATCAGGAAAGTAGTCATCGATTGGTGTGATGTCAGTTTTCGAATCTGTTGTCAATCTTGACAAGTGATCTGTGACAACATTTTCACTGCCTTTCTTATCTTTGATTGTGATATCAAATTCTTGAAGTAATAAAATCCATCGCACCAATCTAGCTTTAGAATCTTTCTTAGAAAGAAGATATTTCAATGCTGGATGATCACTAAAAACAACAACAGGTGAGCCAACAAGATAAGATCTAAATTTTTCACATGCAAATACTACTGCAAGTAATTCTTTTTCAGTGGTGGTATAATTCATTTGAGCACTATTTAAAGTTTTACTTGCATAGTAAATTACATAAGGTTTCTTATATTTTCTTTGTCCCAAAACAGCACCTACGGCATAATCACTAGCATCACATATTATTTCAAAAGGTAATGACCAATCGGGAGGTTGAATGATAGGAGCACAAGTAAGCAAGTTTTTAAGTTTAACAAAGGCTTCTTCACAATGTTCAGTCCATTCAAAAATAGTATCCTTTGTTAGAAGGTTACTTAAAGGCTTAGATATGACACTAAAATCTTTGATGAACCTTCTATAAAAACCAGCATGTCCTAGGAATGATCTAACGTCTTTAAGAGATTTTGGTGTTGGCAAGTTTGCAATTATATCGATTTTAAATTTGTCAACCTCAATTCCTTTTGATGAAACAATGTGACCAAGTACAATGCCGTTTGTTACCATAAAATGACATTTTTTCCAATTCAGCATAAGATTCTTCTCTTCACACTTGGTCAAAACCTTTTCTAAGTTAGTTAAACAATCATCAAATGAATCGCCAAAAACAGAAAAATCATCCATGAAAATCTCAAGAAAATGTTCAACCATATCACTAAATATACTAAGCATGCATCTTTGAAATGTGGTTAGTGCATTACATAATCCAAAAGGCATCCTTCGATATGCAAAAGTACCAAATGGACATGTGAAAGTAGTCTTTTCTTGATCTTCTAATGCAATTTCAATTTGGTTGTAACCCGAATAGCCATCTAGGAAACAATAAAATTCATGACCTGCAACTCTTTCTAGGATTTGATCTATAAAAGGTAAAGGAAAATGATCTTTTCTAGTCATTGAATTAAGTTTCCTATAGTCAATGCACATGCGCCAACCAGTAACAGTTCTAGTAGGAATTAACTCATTGTTCTCATTTGTTATCACAGTGACTCCAGACTTCTTGGGTACAACTTGGGTAGGACTTACCCATTTGCTGTCAGAAATAGGATAAATGATTTCATTATCTAGAAGCTTAATGACTTCATTTTTCACTACTTCTTTCATATTAGGATTTAGCCTTCGCTGCATTTCTCTAGAGGGTTTAGCATTTTCCTCTAAATAAATTCTGTGTGTACAAGTCAAAGGACTAATTCCTTTTATATCAGTTATGGTCCATCCTAATGCATTTTTGTGCATTTTCAGAGTTTGTAATAACTTACCTTTTTGATGTGCATTAAGTTTGGAAGAGATTATTACCGAAAAAGTTTCATTTTCTCCCAAAAATGAGTATTTAAGATTGGATGGCAACGCCTTCAAATCAGGTTTTGGTGGCTGAACACTTGAAGGTATGGACTTAATTGATTGTGGTGGCAATTCCTCAATTTGTGGCCTCCAATTACTTGTCTTTGATTCTTCTTGAAAATAAATCATTTGCAAATCATCAGATTCATCAATCTCAATTTCATTGGAAGTGGTTGGAAATTGATCATGAATTAATTTTTCAGTAAAGTCCACTTCCTGTAAATCATTATCATCTCTAGGTTGCTTGCAAATGTTGAAAATATTCATCTCTAATGTCATGTTTCCAAATGATAGCTTCATCAGTCCATTCCTACAATTAATCAATGCATTAGAAGTTGCAAGAAATGGACGTCCTAAAATAACAGGAAATGAATTACATACTTCAACAGGTTGGAAATGAATTACATGCTTCAACAGGTTCTGTGTCCAAGACAATAAAATCCACAGGATAAATGAATTTATCGACTTGTACTAACACATCTTCAATTATTCCTCTAGGCACTTTTATAGATCTATCGGCAAGTAAAAGAGTTATAGAAGTTGGTTTTAAGGGCAAGTAAAAGAGATATAGAAGTTGGTTTTAACTCACCTAGATTGAGACTTTGAAAAACTGAATATGGAAGTAAATTCACACTAGCTCCAAGATCAAGTAAGGCTCTTTCAATTTTATGCTCTCCAATAAAGCAAGAAATTGTAGGACAACTAGGGTCTTTATATTTCAAAGCATTATTGTTCTGAAGAATAGCACTTACTTGTTCAGCTAGAAAAGCTTTCTTTTTCACATTCAGTTTCCTATTCACAGTATATAGATCTTTTAAAAATTTAGCATAGGAAGGAACCTGTTTAATAGCATCCAACAAAGGTATATTGATCCTTACCTGTTTGAAAGTTTCAAAGATTTCAGAGTTATGATTGACATTCCTTTGTTTGGTCATGGCTTGAGGAAATGGAAGTGCTGGCAAAGAATCAGTCTTTTCTTTGCAATTTTCAGATTCAACCCCTTCCTTACCCTCAGAGATTGACTCATCATCTTTCTCATAAGGTTCAAGAGAGGGTTTTTCAATAACTTTACCACTACGCAGAGTAGTGACTGATTTGACTTGATCCATGTGTTGGCTTCCGGAACTACTTGCATTTGCATTGTATTGCCCCTTGGGATTTTGTTGTGGTTGAGATGGAAACTTACCTTTCTCTTGAAAACTGAGAGCAGATGTTAATTTTGCCAGAGTATCTTTAAAATCTATCATGTTTTGAGCAAGTTGAGTATTGATTGTCTCTTGCTTTTCAATGAATGCATGCAATATTTCCTCAAGATTTCTTCTAGGAGGTGGAGCATAAGGAAGTGTATATCCATGAGAACTTTGGAAATTATGGTGTGCTTGAAATGGTGGTTGTGAAGTTTGTGCATTGTTGTTCTCACTCTTCCAACTGAAATTTGGGTGATTTCTCCAACTAGGGTTATATGTTTGGGAGTATGGGTTGTGGTTGGCCATTTGAAAACTGTTTAAAGCATGAGCTTGTTCATGGAGACATTCCTTAAAAGAAGGTGACACGACTAAAAGATTGATGTCTTCTCCCAAGTGCAGGAGTGTCGAAGTAATAAATAACCCAGCAAGACCAGGGTCGAACCACAGGGAGGTTAATTGTACAAATTATAATACAACAACAATAACAACAACAACAATAACAACAACAATAGTAATAATAATAATAATAATAATAATAATAATAATAATAAAGAAAAAGAACGAGAAGAAGAAGAAGAAGATGAGAACTTAGAGATAAAATATTAATGTAAGGATTAAACGACGATAATAACAAATGTCAAGGTTAGAGGATCCACTAATGGTATGTCAAACAACTATAGTATAAACTCTTATTATTCAATTGGAAACCACACACAAAGGAGGTTCCAATCTGATTATAGATTGTTAACATGATTACATTAGTCATCTTATTCCATTAATGCTAATACTTGTAAATCTCGTCAAACATTCATGATTATAACTTATGTTAACAACAAATCAAGTTCCTTGCATAGCTCA